TTTAATGGACTTGTATGTATTATAAAAGTAAAAAAAAATAAAGTTAAAGGAAATCTTGCACAGAACTTAAGCTTTCATTTTAGAAACTATTTAAAATTTATGTCAGCTTTGCCGAAAAAAAAATCAAAAATATTTTTTCTCACAAAAATTTAATTTTATTTACAATTTTAAAACGAAAGATTTAAAAGATTTTAAGTACAAATAAAAATCAAATCAGGAACAGGGGCTGTTAAATAGCAAAAAATTAGACAGAACAACAAAATTAATTTTTTTTTATTTAATTTTTTCTGAATTATTTTATACATTTTTTATCTTAATTTTTTTTACTAATTATTTAAATTTGTTTTTAAAATTTTGTTGCAAATTTTCTGAAGTCAACTATGGCTTCTACAACGTTAAAGTTTCATCGCTAAGTCAAACAGTAAAAAATATCTCAGTACATAAGTATGTTTGTATATGTGCCACACGCACACTAGCACCAGCACAACTTAATGCTGGAAATATACTAAGAATATCATACAAAGCGCAGCAGTGTCACACGCATAAAAAATGTCATAAAAACGCTACCGAAGCACCGTTGTGATTGCGGTGCTGCAACAAGTGATTTCCAGTTTTCAGTTTTCTTGTTGCTAACAGTTTTCATTTTTCCTTTCTCCTAATTAACGCGCTATGCGAGGAAAGGCGCTTGAGTGGAGCGGCGGCCATAAAAACGCTGGACACGAACAGGTTGGCAGCGAGTGTGACAGTTAGTATTTCGTAAGCGCACGCACATATATAGTATGTGTATGCTGAATAGAAAATGCGTGAGTGTGAGTATGTGTGTGTGTGAGGAAATATTTTTTGGTAGCGCTTTTGTCAGCTTTTTCGACATTTCCGCGCAGCTATTGCTTTTATTTTATTTTGTATTTTTTGACGCGCCACTGCTTTGTTGTTATTGTTTTTTTAAGTAGACAACAGTTAAACGCAATACAGTAACAAAATTAAACTTAGAAATGCTGGATTGCAAAATTAAATAACACAAAACTTGGCGCAGGCTTGCCTGTCGCTAATTTTTGGCGATATTTTCTGACGTAAACGGTTGTAAAGGCGTGTTTATATATGCGTATGTGTATACATTTCAGTTGCTGATTGTTCTAGCGGCATATCAGCAAGCTTAAGAGTGACTTAAGGCTACTTATACCATTAATTTTCTAAGAAAGCTTTAATACGAGACCAAACACACACACTTTCGCATACACACGCACAAACAATTACTAAAAACCTAGCAGAAGTAACGAAACCCGCATAAATTTTCAATTACCCAAGCAAATGAGTGTGTAAGCAAACGTTTGAACGAACAAATTAACTAAGCAGAACAAAAGACTCAGGAAACGAACTCGCGCGCATGCGTGCCAAATTATAATGCGCGCACACACATACATTTAGTCACATGTATTAATGCAGTTATAAGTGCAGTGCATACAAAACACAAGTGTTGTTTACATTATTGTTGTTGTTGTAAATTTATAGCATTATTAGCTGGAGCGGCATCTCAAGTGACGCACAATAAATCGAGTTAATTGAGCCGGTTGCATGGAAAGGGTTTATTAATTTCCTAGCGCACAAACAGAGCTTGTGAGCTGTGTAGGGCACTTAAGAATGGTAAGTGGAGCAAATGTAAGGATCTTTTTTATTCTTCGCTTACTAATTGTGGCCGCTGTAACTGCTGAGAGGCAATGAATGGCTTAATAATAAAGGAAGTGGTATGCATAAATCGAGTGTAGAAAGCAAGTGTGAGCTGGGAGCAGAATTATCAGATTTAATTACACACAATTTTATTGATAGTCTAAGTGAATGATGGCATACATGGATATTTTAACAATAATGTTCTTGAAGGTGTGGGTGTAGAGCCAAAAAGGAGCGGAAAATAGAAGCTAATATATATATATTTTTTTTTTTTTTATTTATTTAGATCCAATAAATATATATTTTTTCAAAATTAGAAAAATTGTTCAATGATCATCGAAAATAGAAACCAAAACATTTTTGCAATTTTTTTAGATATCAATAAATATATATACATAGTTTGGTTAAATTTATAATTTTTTCAACGATTTCGGCGTAGCATATCATCGAAACTAGAACTATAAAATAAATTATATAAATAAATATTTTGTATATATTTATATAAATATATATTTTTTCAAAATTTAAACAATTTTTCAACGATTACGGCAAATCACATTTTCGAAAATAGAAACTGGATTATATATATATTTTCAAAATTTTTTTAAATTAAATTTTTTTCAACGATTACGGCATATCACATCCTCGAACATAGAAACTGAAATTTGTATATTTGTTTTTAGTATTTGTTTTTACCGATAAATATACATATTTTTAAATTAAAAAAAAAATGTTAATGATTACGACATATCACATCAACGAAAATGTAAGCAAATTTTAAGAAAAAGTTTAATAAATAATTAAATTTCTATAAAAATAAAATTTGTATATATATAGATATTATTGAAATTAATTTCTATTACCTAAATTTAGTTCAAATTAATTTTTCAAAAATAAATAAAAAAAGTTATATTAAAGTTTTCTATAATTTTTTGTTTTTAGTAATATTATATTTTTTTGAAATTATTCGTATTTAATAAAAAATTTTTTTTTAAAGATTTTCATAATTAAAAAGTATAAATTTTAATTAACTAAAATCTAAACATTTTTGATTTATTTGACTGATTAATATACATTTAATTAAAGCAAAGTCACATACAAGTATTATTGTATTTTGTAATTCTTTCTTGGATATTACAAAATAATTTGTATCACTATTATACTGTAAGTGATACAAAATGATTAAAAAATCAAAATTAATTGATTAATTAATTAAAATGTAAAAAAAAAAAAATTTTTAATTTTTTGTAAACATTTAAAAAAAAAAACAATTTTTAAACCAAGAAAAAGTGCAAAAATTTGATATATTATTTGTCAGCGACATATATACCTATAATAGAAAAAAATAATAAAAAAGCAAACAAAAAACTCCTTTTTTCGTCTAATTTTAATAGAAAACTCTTTTTTTACTTTAATTTTAACTAACTAAAATACTAACAGTAAAATTTCTAAAAAAAAACGATATTTTTATTTGAAATTTATAAATTTTCCACTAAAATTTTTTCCAGTTCTATGCCATTCACCCCGTTTTTTTTTAAAGTATCGCGTTGCTAGCGTTTCTAATTGCAACATACTATTACACATATACACACATTTATGTTTTTAATTGCAGTTACAGCAGCGGCCAAGACATTTATACAAATACATTGTATTTATACAAATGAAGGCATTATAATCAAATTAATTAGGGTTAAGTGCATATTACTGCACTTCGCAGGAAATAAAAACGTACAATCTGCTGGAAATGTTGGAGCATAGAACTATATTGCCCGCTTGGAATATAATTGTTTCTTTAAAGTAATCGCGCTTTTGCATGCAATACAAAGTAATTGGAATGAATGCCACAAAGAAATGCGCAAATAACGGCTCATGAGAGTTATTTTAATATGTGAAGAGTTATTAAGTATTTCAAAGTAATTTTAGCGATGAGCTGGCTGTTCAAGAATTAAAATTTAACGAAAAAATATGGAAAAAATTGCACTTTTTTTAATTTAAATTTTACGCAAAATTGTAGTTTCAAGCGCTCAATGAAAAATATAACTATAATATTGAAATAAAAGCATTGATTAATATATTTACAAAAAATAAAATACGTTTTAAATTTATATTTCCAAAAACATTTAATTTTTAAATAAAATATTAAAGAAGAAAAAAAATTAATTTAAAAATTCTAAAACAGTTGCTTTTTTAAACTTTTTAATTTCATTTATTACAAAAAAATTTTTATTAAACAAAAGCTTAATTGAAAAAAAAAATCAAAATACTAAAACAGATTATCTTTCAAACAGAAA